AAAGCCCCCCAAGGCCGCCCGAGCCCCCCCGCCCCCCAGCCAGTCCCTTGAGTGCCGGCTGCGGGTGCCTCGCCTGCCCGGCCCTGGCACCCACGGCTGCGGCTGGCTTCCTCGTGAGCTCTGCACTAAGTGTCCCTGAGTGCCAGGGACTGGACATGCCCTCCTCCCAGGCGGCACGCCCTCTGGGTCGGAGATGTCCCCTAAGCAGAAGCCCCAGCACCCGGGGCCAGCTCCCCAGTCTGCGGGGCCCAGCACTGCTGCACATCCGGGATGCTCGCCCACTCCCAGGCGCCTGGGCCGCCTCCCGCCACCTCCTTAGCTTTACAGCCACGGTCCTGTGCAGCTCCGGCCAAGACCCGTGGCGTATGTGGCGTGGCATGGAGGACACTGCCTCATCTGTACTACCTGCAGGGTCGTGGCCGAGTGCGGGCTCCGACGGACCCCGGGCTGCTGGGCGTGCCCTCCAGCACTGCCTCTCCTGTAGTCCGGGCTGCTCTGCCTCTTGCACTTTTATTTGAATGGTAAAATCAGCCTCTCAATTCCTAAAGAGATCCAGATGTGCAGACTGTTTTAAATCTGTAGCACGCTATTAGAACCGACACCTTCATGGTATCGAGGCTTGGTCAGTGAATGTGGTACAGGTATCTACACTGACGTAGGTTTTCTTTCACTCTTAGCAGTGTTTTGTTTTCAGCGTACAGGCCTTCGGGTTGGTCTTGTCAAGGTGATCCCCACCCAAGTACTTTGTATTTTGACGCTATTTAAGTGGTAGGTTTTTGTTAAATGTCAAGTTCCAGTTTTCTGTTGCTCATACACAGAAATACAGTCGGCTCCTGCCTGAGGTCCCTCACACGCAGGAGACTGCTGTCCCCCAGGACCTGAAAGGGTTGGTGGGCCGTGGCCAGACGAGTGGACTCACTGCCGACGTATCAAGTAGCTGGAGGCTTCGCCCGGCAGCCCAGAGCGCGCTTTAGGACAGCACTCCGTGGCTGTGCCAAGACTGAGCGTGCTGTTTTCTCTGTAGACCTGTCCAGCCCTGCCGTGGCTACGTGTCTGACGGGCAGTGTGCCACGTGACGGGCAGTGTGCCATGTCTGTAGGCGCTAACGCCCGGAAACCTGTCTTCCAGGTGGTGGAAGTTAAAGGCCCCAACGACCGTCTCTCGCACAAGCAGATGCTCTGGCTGGACGAGCTGCAGAGGCTGGGCGCAGACGTGGAAGTCTGTCACGTGGTCGCGGTGGGCGCCAGAGGCCGAGGCCTGAGCTAGAGCCGTGGAGCTGGGACTGTCCATCGTAAACCAAGACCAGACCTTCAAAGGCAGAAGCCGGCTAGGTTTATTTAGTTCGAACTGTCACCAGCAGTCACAAACCCGCCGAGTTTGTAACCCTCAGCCCTGTGCAGGGTCTGCGCCCACCTCGGCACTTGCCTGAATGCACTTCTTGATGCCACGTGGCAGGTACCACTGTATTTTCCCATGAGAGACAAAGACTGGCCCCGACAGGTCCTCATGCTGTCGTCTGCCTGCCCCTCGGCCAGCAGGTCACGGCACACGTGTGCGCCAGGTGCTCAGAGGCTGAGTGGAGCCCTGAGCCTTCCCACGAGGGACCACTCTGCCGTTACAGCCGCACTGCTGTCCACAGGCCCTAACGGATGCTTACCGCCCCCAAGTCCATTATTTTATTTCCTTTGCATATTAGTCCCCTTTGTGGTTTTTTTTTTTTTTTTTTTTTTTTGCTATAGGGCGCGTATGCTCACCAGAGAGACAGAAAGTGAGAAGTCACCCTCCAGGGGGATGGCCATGCCGCAATCCCTTCCTCATTCTCCTCTCTGGATCTTGAGAGCACACACATGCACTCACATGCGCACACCCAGCGTGAGTTTTAAGTCACCAGGTCCAGGACATGAACCATGGTTGACTACTTGGGAGCCCAGCGACGTAGCCATTGTGCCGTCTGCTGTTCCCCTAATGACCTTTTGAAAAGGCCACAGCCTTGCTGGCTATTTTAGCTGAGGCGACTGTGAGCTGTGCAGAACAGCTGGGACAGAGCCCAGCGAGATGCTGCCCATCTTCCGGTTTCCTCTGAGAACAGCACCAACAGTGTTTCTGGTGGGACTCCTGAGCATCTGTGCCCACTGTGCACCACCTCCCGGAGGACAGAAGCAGCTCCTGGCTGGCCTGCACGGCCCACGATGCACTGGACACTGGGCTGTCTGCCCTGGTGCGCTCCAAGCCCTCAGACTTGGTGTCTGCAGCTGGAGGGCTGTTTACGCATGCTCTGTCCCAGCCATGTGGCCCAGACGCTGAGTGCCCAGGTCCAGGACAGCAGGAGTGCTGCGTGGGTGACACCCATGGACACGTGGAAGAGGCCACCTTCATGCACTCTGTGCCTGGTCACATAGGTGAGCTCACACTGACCACAGGCGTGTGCTGTGGCCGCCGTGTTTAGCTGTCAGGACTCTGCACATCGGGACCCTGGAACAGCAAGCCCCCATCTTCCCGGACAGCCCGCCTGCTTAGCTCAGCCGTCACTTTTAGGCACAAAGGTTTTCGCCCTCACAGGGTCTGGCTGCCTGAGTTGCTGCTGCAGCAAGCAGGCTTTGCTGGAAGTCAGCAGCTCTCACCCCATTAGAGCAGGCCAGACCCCTTCTGTGAGGCTGTGCATTTGTTTTGGACACTGGTTTCCATCGTAAAGTCACACTAAGACAGCAGTCCCGGGAAGCAGCCCACAGCCTGTGTGTGGCCTGGGGTGCAGGGCTGGAGAGGCCATGCCGCCCCGACAGCATGCACAGGCATGAGGCCACGCCGAGGTCCCTTTCCACTAGCAGTGACCCGTGCCGAGCAGCTTTCCAGCAGTCTGACCAAAGGCTGTTGTTTCTTACCTGACGTGCGACAAACAGGCAGTGATCATGACACAACCACCGCCTGCCAAAATAAAAACTCAGCTCACGACGTTTGGTTACATGCAGATACACACATTTCTACTTTAAAATAGTGTCAATAGCACCTAATCTTTAAAACTTGGGAACTAAAATCACTCCGGGAGTTGTGATAGATGTGTGAGGAAAGCGAGTTTGGGAAAGATCAATGCTCAGTCTGAAAAGTTCCCTTGAAACAATGTTTAATGACCATGGGCAGTGCTGCGGGGCACTGGGGGCAGGACAGGCAGGCCTCAAGTGGCTGCTCCCATCAGAGCTGCAGCTCGGGAGGGATGGCGATGCCCGAGCACAGCCCTCAGGCTCCCTTCAGGTTTCTGCGGTAGGGTGTGCTCCAGAGGGGAGATGGCCACACGATCCCTCCTCCTCCATTCTCCGAGGTGGGTATGCACGTACATGTGCCGGCATAACTGGGGCTCGGACTGTGGGCAGCCATGTGGGAGTCCAGCACCATAACCACGCCACCCACACTCTAGCCACAAGTTGGCAAAACATTGGTGAGTTTCCTAAGACATTTAAAATGATCTGTCCTAGTAAACCAGGTAACATTACTAAACAATCTTTTAAAAGAAACACTTCAAACAGAAACTGACTTTCTACAGAGTGCTATGAGAAAACCTGCTTCAGGAGAGGAGACATGCCAGCTAGACACTCCACTACAAACCGCCCAAATCGTAAGGTGGCAGTTTCAGGAAGCCTTAACAGTCGCACGTCCAACTTTGGAATGAAATGGGGTGGGGTACCAGGTGTGGCTGTGGTGTGAGGCCTGGCTTGTTACTGTGTGCCATCCAGGGCCAGCAGCACAGCTGGAGCACGCACGTCACCTTCTCCCCGTCCCCGCGGCCGGCGGCCAGTAGCGAGGGCTTCTGCACCTTGCTGAGATGGCTTCAGGTAGGGAGACGCCCCTCACGTCTGTCCCCAAGCACAGACTCCTCCGCAGGGAGGAGGCCCTGCCAGGACCTCAGGCTGCCACGTTGCTCACTCCTGGCAAGCCCAGGTCTCCCTGCAGACACGAGCCCCACCCAGAGCTAGGGTTGCCCCCCAGCTGGCACCCCTCGGCCACTGTGCTTGGGGGCTCCCGGCTGTTGGTGTGAAGCTTACGTAAGGATGTACTTCTATACAACTCCCTTACCACAGTGAGGTCCCGTCACACACACTTGCTGCTGACGGCAGAGGCGCTGTTAGGTAATACCTCCAGCAAGTGCTGTAACGTCAGTCCGTGTTCTTTTCAGATTTTGCTAGAGGGTACAGCGTGTGTCACTTTAAAGTTAGTCCCATAAAGGTAAAGCAAACTCCTGACTTCAAAACACAGCAGTTTGAGGTCCTAACCAAGGTTTTCTTTTCTTTTTCTTTTTTTGGAGAGGTTTTTGCTATAGGGCATGTGTACTTGCCAGAAGGACAGAGACAGAAAGTGAGAAATCACCCCCCAGGGGGATGTCCACACTGTAATTCCTTCTCCGTTCTCCTCTCAGGATCTTGGGCACACACACACACATGCCCGGCGTGAGTTTAAGCCACCAGGTCCAGGACTTGAACTTGCAGTCACCTACATGGGAGTTCAGCGACATAGCCATTATGCTATCTGCTAGTCCCTAACCAAGGTTTTCTAAAACAACAGATTCTGACCTGGGAACACAGAGCCCCCGTTAAGGGGGTTCAATGAGGAGTCACAGACACATGAACCGCTTCTAAAGCCTCTGGGGGTTCGGGGTCACACCACTGATTCTCCTGTTGCCTCTTCCTGGGGTCTCAGGTAACCCTCAGAGGTGGCAGGCGGAGCAGGCGGACCTCACAGGGCCAGGACCCCGAGGAATGAGCAGCCGGGATGATGGACTGAAGCAGGGCGGCACGCTCCGATGTGGTTTCCAACAGCAGGGCAGATCCCGACCCCAGCACCGAGCTCCGGGGCTGTCGGACAGCCAGCCAGCTCAGGGGGAGGACGAGGGACGCCCCTTCACGCCAGCCGCTGCGTTCAGTCCTCGCTGGCCAGCGTCTCCGTAGACAGCCAGATCTTGGCACCACCGAGAAACTTGCTTAGCGGAGTCCCTGAAATGCTCCTTCTGCACAGGTTTCCCACAGGAGAGAAGGGGAACGAGGAGGACAGGAACTCCGGCGTCCCCGCGCTGTCGTGGGGGCCGCTGGCTCTGAAGTACGTGGCCCCCTGGACCGGCTCTGCGCCGCAGACCCCCAGAGGCCCACCCTGCTGCTGTCGGAGCCTGCTGCCCAGCACACGCACCTCGTCCGCAAGGACGGAGAGCTTGTGGAAGACGGTGATGGGGCCCCCCAGGTGGATCTGGGCCTCGGGGACCCAGCGGAGGTAGCACAGCTTCCACAGTTTGACGTGCGTCCCTGAGAGGCGTGGAAGCAGCGCCCCGTGCAGGTCGACTGGCTTGGAAAACCACGCTCTCAAATACTGCTCCGTGTCGTTGTCCTGGCCATGGCTTGCATGAGGCGGGTCTCGCCTCGGCGGCAACACTACAGAGTTCCTTCTTGGAAGTCCCTCGTGGTCACCGAGGAGTCCGTTTTTCAAGGAGGATGGGGCTCCTCTTAGTGTGGAGCTGTAGCTTTTCTGCACAGAAAAGTTTTCAGCATTTTCTTAGGGTCCCCCTTTATGAGTGAACAGGGGCAACCCACCCCCCAGTGTGAGCACACTCAGCTGCAATCCCAGCCTTAGGACGCTACGCCCCTCCCTCGCAGCGCCCTCCCAGCCCCTCCCCTGTCCCAGACTCAGCCTAGGCTGTGCGGACAGCCGGGGTGGAGGCGAGCTAGTGTGCTAGCGGTCACTAGCTCAAGGACACATTCCCAGGACGGGTTAGACCCGGCCACATCTAGGAAGAACGGGGAGACTGGATGCATTCCTGACTCAGCACTGTTCTCTGAGGCCGACTGGGGCTTCAGGGGCCTCAGACACCGAGAGTCAGCAGTTACTCCCGTCGGAGGGGAGCTGGCCCCAGAGCCTGCGCTTGCTGTGCTCTGGAAGGGTTGGCGGGCCTGTGGCACGTTGCTGTCTGGGGGAGTCATTACCTTTGTCCGTTTAAAGGCCCTGATGGAGCCGTTCCGTATGGTGGGCATGCTCTTTCCGATGTAGAAGGGGTTATGGAACAGGGCACGGTCCTTCGCCGTGAACTGGAGAGACCAGTCCCAAACTGAAGGGAACTTCAGGCCCTTCTCATCACCCAGCTGGATATTTCTGCTAATAGCAAATTCCTGCAAAATCGGACATCGCGTGAGTGTGGCTGGTTGGCACTCGGGGTTTTCTTGCCCGAGCCGCTCCCCCTGGGCAAGCCCCCCTGCTGTGCAGGGACTGTTCCCATGGGCCACGCGACCCACAGGGCAGCGATGGAGTGCAGAGCCTCTGCCCTGTGGGTGACGGCCCTGCTGGGAAGCCGAGGCAGCTGCGCCCCCTGGTGGCCCTGATGTTGCGGAGCAGTCCCGCTAGGCAGCGTCCACACGTGGAGCTCACCACTTCCCTCCACCTTGCTCTGCGCTGTGCCAGGCCTGGCATGCGTGGCTACCCCGGGGCCCTGGGACGGGACAGGGGCAGGAAACACTGCACCCCAGCTCTGCAGTCTGAACTGGGAACGCAGCAGCAGCCTGCATGCCTAACCTCCATGCCGCGGCTCCAGCACACTGATAGACCTCTGCAACCCTCCCTGGGGACCGCAGCTTCCACCTGTGCTGGAGCGCCCCAGGCCAGGGGCTTACACTCCTACTCAGAAGGTGACGGCATGTGACATGACCGACCCAGGGGATTCTGAGACCACGCGCGCGGCGAGGTGCCCTCTAGAATCAGGCCAACAGCCCGTCTCTGAAGTACCTGCTCCACAGACTCTGCACTTCTGCTAAGTCCTGCTAGAGGGCGTGGGCAGAGAGAGGCAGAGGGTAGTGAGAAACCACCCCTGGGGCTCCACGCACAGCCCCTCCTCTTTCACTCTGCTCTCAGATTTTAGACCCCGTGCACAAGTGCCTGGTGTGGCCCAAGCTGCTGGGTCTGGGACCCAAACCACACAGCCTGCCACGTGGGATACAGCTGCCTTCACCTCCATGCCAACGGCTGGCCCACGCTTTGGGAGCAACGTCATCTGGCAGAGCCTTTTCAGTGCCCAGCCCAGCTGTGCGCACGAGCACATGCCAGACGGCCGGGCAGTAGCCCTGCATCTGTGAGCGCTGGCCAAGGAGAAGGCACGCCAGGCACGACCCCCACAGCTGTCTTCCAAAGGACCTGTCCCAGCCAGTGGGACACAAGCACTACCACCTGGCCCACCCCACGTCAGGCGAGCTGCACGGCTGCGGCCAGAAGGTCACGACACGAGAGACCTGCCAGCAGTCCCTGTGCCCGCCCCGTGGAAAGGAGAGAAACCAGGAATTGCAGCTGGAAACGGTGGTGGGACAGGTAGCCTGCGTCTGCTCCACGTGCGAGCTGTCGGGCTTCAGCGAGCCGGAACAGAGCTGGGGGCACGCTGGCTTACCGTGCTCTGCTTCACCCGCTGGTGGGGTGAGTTGAAGAGGAAGGTGCCGAACAGCGGGATCCGAGTGCTGTCGTGGAGCACCGCCAGGTAGGTCTCCGTGAACTCGAACGCTGCCGGGTACTGCTCCAGCAGCTGCCACGTGGCATCCAGGAACAGCAGGAACAGGGGACACTGGGAGGGGACAGGCGGCTCAGTCACGCTGCCCCAGCACGCTCGGGGAGCTCTGCGCTACAGCCGACACGGGTGGTGCGGGGAACATCTGGCACCTGGCAGGCGAGGCTGGGCCCAGGACGTGTGAGGACGGACGCTGCAGCCAGCCTGCCAGGGAGCGCGCTCAGTGGGAATGCTTGAGCGCATGGCGAGCAGCCTGCATGTGCAGAGGGGAGGGCAGTGGGCGCGGCGTGGCACAGCCCTCGGCTAGCACCTGCACTCGACTTCTGGCTTACTCTGCTGGCTCGGCATCGGGCCGTGTCCCCAGGTTTCAGAACAGCTTGGCACAGGCCCCTGGACTGCGCGGTGTACCCCATCCCATGCCCGCCCCGTGCAGCTCCTTCAGTGCGATGCCTGGGTCTATGGTGTGCCTGGGGCACGTTCTGAGGACCATCAGACCTGCCAGGGCTCCGAGGTGGCCGCTGCCCCACAGCTGCCCCACTGGCTCTTCACACTGTCCACTCGTAACCCACGTGCCCCAGTTAAGAAAAGTGACCCTCATGACATCCAATGTGCCTGTGACCTGCTCTGCACCTAGCCAGGTCTGAAGGGCCCAGCCCCACCCACTTACAGAGCCCTCGCTGACACACTGACCGCCAGCTGGGCTTGGCCAAGGGACGTGGATCTGCGTCATGCCGAGCTCACCCAGCCCCAGGGGCCGCCTGACATAGTGCCGTGATCACGCCAGGGGCTGCAGGGACTGTTACCTCCTTCTCCGACCTCTTCAAGTGGCTGCACCTGTCCAGGAACTGGTGGCCCGCCATGACCCACTCCTTCTGCACCAGACTCTGGAAACCAGGGACGGG